CGACTTGGCATTCGGTAAGATAGGCGCTCGCCGTACGCGTATGTACATATACGTAATAGCTCGAGGGCACGGTACAGGTATACGGATGATGCGAGCGGCACACGCGCGCGCCCACATTAGAAAGCTTTATTGCGAATTACCGGGTCGTAATAACAAGCCGCCCGAGCGGATAATGCCTTGTACGATTCAGTTGTACGCAAACACTGGCACAAAGCCTTTTAGATGTATATATATGGGAGTTGTTGTCGGCACGCGAAATATTTACACGAGCAGCCGTTCCGTAATCGGTTGAGTTGTTGCTGTAGTGTTGCGTTGTACTTTTGAAAAAAAAAAAAAAAAAAAAAAAAATAACGCTTGGTCGATGATTCACGAGTCAAATATATAACCGGGGGAGCACCCGAAAATCCACGCGAATATTTAAGCTTCGCTATTTACGGTCCCGGGTTTCAAGTTTTTCGACCGAGGTCTCGCGGCCTTTAAACAGTTTAACCTTTCCTCGCTCGACTCGCTTCGGAAGCGCCCTCCCGACTTTGGCAAAGTTTAGCCCCCCTCCAACTCTATCTCTTTGTCGGTGGAAAAAGTGAAAAAAAATCCACCCAACGGTGCTCCAAAGTTGTGCTGGCGGGGACAAAGATTCCCACTCTGGGGCCGATACAGCGCTCGCGAATCTGCATAATTTCATTACAGCTCCCATAAACCGATGGGTAGGTATAATACTCTCCAAACTCCGACTCTATTGCCACTGTGTACACCCATTCGAATCTGATCGCAACGTGCCAAACTTACTCCGATAGTGTGTGTTCTCCCGTGGACGAATGGACGTTTGTTTATTTTTTCTTTTTGGTAAATTTAATTGGTCGGTTTATCATGCAACGAGTAGCTGGATAGTTATGTGCTCTACCAATCAAATCTCGTTGGAGCTGGAAAAAAAAGATCCGTTACCTCCGAAGGTGGGTTAAATTTACACGGAGTTGGGTAGTTTTTTTTTTCGGGGGAACCAGAGAAGAGCTTTTTGTTTGCCTAATGTATGCTTTTTTTAGCTGTCATCGGAATTTTAAAAGAAAGTTGTAACTTTTGCCCGAAGAGTCGGTTAAGCGTAGCAAGATAAACTTTGATTAAAAATTTGTTGAGTCGAGGAAAAAAAGGGTACTTAATAAAAGTTCGTGGAACGAGGGTGCGCCGAGTTGTGGAAATAGTTAAAATTTCAAGGTGCCAACGATCGTTTTGCAAACAACCGAATCGATGGCTTGTCAATTATTTCACCACTTGTCTGTTAAATCTATATGGTAAATCCCGAGTCGAGTTGACAATGTCGAAAATTTCCAAATCCCGACAGTATAAATATCGCGTGTACATTCGACCGAGACATTATTTTTCGACTCAACGAGTCCCGAAGTGCAGTCCCGTCCCACGTGTGTGTTCTATTTTACATTTTCCACGGTTCGTTTAAGCCCTCGTGGGAAAAGTTACGATCGAAGAGGGACGTTTTTCCTCGAAATTTCAATAAAAAGCCCAAAATCTTTCGCAACTTTTAATGAAACACCCGAGTGATGTGCTGTAAAAAAAAAAAAAAAAAACTTTTTTTCTTCTTCCTTCGACGATACAGACCAGGTTCAGGGGGGGTAGGTAACCGCGAAATAGATAAAAAAGTTTCCCAAGTCGCATTATTACGGGTGGAAAAATGATGTTACGACGTCTCGAGGGCGCAACGAAGGATATATACATATATATATATATATAAAACCCATGCTCCCGAAGGACACGTCATTTATTCCAACTAGCGAGTAGTACATGCTCTCCCGCGTGTGCTCGTATAGGGTATCGCGGAGGGCGCGAGCAAACGGCATATTGGGATTTCTCTCAGGCACCGGCGCATCTTGCGAATTCTCGCAGCGTCTTTGCCGTCTGGGGGTCAGAGGGTCTGGAATTGCACATCTAATCCACCCGCAGAGCACCACTACCAGCAAGTGCACGCAGCTTGAATTTAAAAAAAAAAAAAAAAAAAAAACCGAGCTCCCTCCTCTCTCTCTCTCTCTCTGTTTGTACGCACTTTGTCGCGAGGCGCAGGGTTAATTTTGACCTTTGAGCGTGCGTGCTCGGCGCATTTTCGATGGAGGTATAATTCCCCGTCATTTTCGAGCGTGAAATTGCAAAAAGGAGGGAGCCGTGAAACGCATCCTCCCGAGGAAGTCTTTTCAACCGAGTTTTTTATTCCCTTTCTCCTCCTCCGGTCCGCGTGAAATTTTAATAGAGTCCCCCTGCCACCCGGAGTTACGTGCGAGCACTGCCAACTCCTTTCAACCCGGGGACTTTTTAAAAATCACTATTAAACGTCTACGTTGCCCCCTTTTTTTTTCCTCCCCCACTACACGAATATACGCGAGAGTACGCACACAATCGACGAGACGTCGCATTCGAAAATTCTCATCGAAGCGTTGAGAAATTGGAAAAAAAAAACATCGGCGCATAAATCAGGTGCGCGTATGCAGGAGCGCCATGCATTTCGAGGTAAAAATCGAAATCGAGCACGTCCTCGCGAGTTCCAAATATTATTGGTTTACGAGGAGTGGGGATCACACGCCCATACCCCAATGTATATATATACACACAGTGGGGGACCGCGCAACAATCGAGTAGTCTTTTGTCAAGTATCAGTAGCCGGGCCATCAGAATTGCAAATTGGACCAACAACAGGACCAACTCGAGGAGGAGGAGGAGGGTATATTATCCGCGGGCCAACCTGTTTGCCAAGTGGCCGAATGATTCACACAACGTGGCTCGCTGCTCTGCACACCGGGTGTATAGTTTCGTTGGCAAACTAGCCACCAACTAACAATATTTCGTTGCTCCTGAAACCACAAACACGCTCGGCTGCTCCTTCGCTAGGGATGTGCGTATATATATATAAATATATACTTTGGTGTGTTTGTGTGCAGGGAGTACCTATCAAGTAAGCCGGAGGAGAAAAGCCTCGGATAGGTCGGACCGCTAGCTCGCATTAATTAGGAACTCGGGGTCCAAAGTTGCAAGGGACGCGCGCGCTTATGTGCGCACGTAGTCCCGCGTCGAACAGCTTTTACACTTTTTTTTTTTCACTTGATGAATCGGTGGGGAGAATTTCATAGATAGAGACATTTTTATCGAGTCGAATTTTGGGGTGATTTTTTGCGTGCCATTTCAGCTCGAATCTCTTTTTTCCGAGCGCACTTTTCGGGAGAAACTCGGTACTTTTGTCCAAACGACCCAGGCAGATATCCACCGTAGTCAAACTTTTACGACCCAAAGAAAGGCGAGTCACGCTCTTTTAACCACAAACAAAAAAAAAACAAAAAAAAAAAAAAACGAGGTTGCGGTCGAAATATTTCTGCTCGAGGAAAAACGCCGCGCGGCCGCGAGTAAACAGTAAGCAGCGAAGAGTAAGCCGATAAGTCGCCTCATCCTTTGCGCATATACAGCCGCCCTTACCCCTTCTCGTTCCATTGCAAGGAGGTATGTATACAGGGGAGACAACGCGCGAATCATCCGAAGCGACGGTAAGTGGCGGACTCGGGGGATTTATTCAAATGTTATTCATTCCCGGGATAGGAGCGGGTCGAAAGCCGCGCTTCGACAAATTCGGAACTTTTGCGCGCAAGGGGTAAGTACAAGCGGAGGTATCGGGAGTTGTGAGTTTGACTGGTTTTTTGGGTCGGTTGAATGGAAAAAAAAAAAAAAAAAACTATTTTCGACGAGAAACAATCGAGCGCGTCCGTCACGGACACCCGACGGGAGCAAACGCACCTGCAAATAGACTCGTTTCCACTGCGGCAACAACACAGGAAGGGGAGATTGGTATACGCGCCGCGAGAGTTGCACACATATATAATACATACACCCAGTGGGCACCGCGCGTAGCTCGTTACACGATCGGCGTATACATAATCTGCACACACAACACGAAAGGGACGTATGCAAGCGAGATTGCATCTCCGCAGACGCACCCGAGCACAATCAGCTTGTTGATATTCGCGATGTTATTGCTACGGAGTGCATCGGGCGATTGTAATAACACGCGCTCGGCTTTTTTCATTTCATCTCTCCCGCCGCGTCAAAACGTGCATAGACTTGCGGGACGGATTTTTCCGACTACAGTTGGACAACTCGCGGACTATCGCACGCGCAAACAGGTGTACCGGGCTGTTAACGGTATACAGTTACCGAGGCACACGAGCTTTAGGCGAAGGTTGCCTTTGGCGCGGCGTGTACATATACATACAACTTACCCGCGGGAAGTTTGTGCGAGCGCTCGAGGGCCCTGTTAAACCGCCCTTTGCCCGCTTTGGATATGTATATACATATATATATATTTACAAGAGCACTTTGCCTCCTCGACGTCGTCTAACAAATAAACGGCACTGAAACGTCGATTCGCGGCAAAGCTGCTCTCCTGTACACATTATACGCACCCGTGTGATGTACAGCACTGCGCGTTGTATACTGTTGTAAAACGCGGAGCGATTTCGAGGGCTTCCAGAGGCTGATTTGTATCGACACGCGGGAAACACCGGTATATACATCGGGGTTGCCGGGGTGTTTTTAATCCATCCGCCTCGCCCGCAAATTACGGTAATGGACCCCTGTTGCGGGGTTAACTCTAAAGCCATGCAGAAAAAAAAGACATCGCGATTGTATCACTGAAATCCAGATATATCCTGCAATAACCTTTGAAGTAGCGGACTTTCAAGCGGAATATATATGTATATACATGTCAAGTTTTCGGGTTCACCCGGACTTTGGTGGAAGCTCGCGATCGAACAGTATAGGCAGAGGTCCAAAGGGAACAAAGAGGACGAGATGCGATACGGCTTTTTGTTCTTTTTGCTTACTATTATTATTTTCTTTTTCTTGAATGTAACTTGTGACAAAAGACAGAGGAGGGGAGGCCGATGGTAAAAACTTCAAAGGTCCACATCCAATGTATGACAGAGAGAGAGAGAGAGAAAGGGTGAGGGCAACGGACAATGATACCGGCCGTCTTCTGTTTCAGCGATGCTGCCAGACAACAAGGGCCGATGATACGGCTGTGCTCGAGGCTGGCCTTGATGGCCCTTTGGAGTGCCGCGCTCGCCGAACCCCCTTCCAAATTGCCCTCCCCGGCAATCACCGGCCTACGGACGACAACATTGGCCGCATCAAAGGAGGGAAATGAGCTGAAATTACCGTCGTTTGTTGAAGATCGGAGCACACCCTCCCTGGGAGTAACGACTCCGGGCTCCTCGGCTGCAGCTGGCGTTCTCCTTGCGAATGGTAAATTCGATCGAGAATCCAGTGCCGTTAATTGGGAAGCCAGCGAGGGCCGTCGGCCCCTTATTCTCCTCGGAGAGCCGTCCCTCGGGAGCATAATAGGGGACTCGGCCGTGGCAGCAACAGCGGGAGCGCCAACCGCGTCGATAGAGCTCGTAAACAACGAGCCGCCAGAGGAGGCATCTCCGGACTCGGGGCGTATCGATTTTCCGGAGGGTAGTAGCTCCTCGCTGGCGCCTCTGGATTATCACGCCGAGTTGGCTACCAAAGACGGGGGAACAATGCCGCCTGACAAGGAGGAGGAGGTGATGCTCTTGCCCCGCGAGCAGCCAGCCAAGCCGACCTCGGAGCTGTGGCCGGTCAAGCACAGCTCAGTGGTCGAGGGCGAGCTCGTCCTGGGTGGCCTGATGATGGTGCACGAGCGCGAGGACTCGGTTACGTGTGGGCCCGTCATGCCCCAGGGGGGCATACAGGCCCTCGAGGCGATGCTGTACAGCCTTGACAAGCTCAACGCGATGCAACTCGTGCCGGGCGTCAAGATTGGAGCTCACATACTCGACGACTGCGACAAGGACACCTACGGCCTCGAGATGGCAGTGGACTTCATCAAGGGTGAGTTTTTTGGAACCAGTTTTATACAAATTTATTCATTCGTTTATAAATACTTGCGGTGGGGGATACAGGCTTTCACACGTTACTTATCAAATTAAGCAAAATCAGTAGTACCAGGTCGGTTTGGTCAGACCATGTCCCTCTTGTGTTTCCCCTAGTAATTTTGCAAAGCTCCATTATATGCACGTCTCATCTTTACAGAATTTTTGTGGAATACACGTAACATTTTACGTTCATAAAAATAAAATAAAATTAAAAGATGGACATCGAATTTTATGCCCTGGAAAATGAGAGCTTTAGCTCGTTTTAACCGAGTTAAGTCATATTAACTCACATTTTGATAAAAGCCCTTTGAAATTAGGACAATTGGCAGTGATGCAACTTAATTTTTAATCACCCTACTCGAAGAGCTTACCCCCCAATTTTTTTTCCGCTTCTCGTGCTGTTTAAAATTCAAACGGAGACACCTCATTCCCAGGCCCCCCTTGGCTTTATCGAGTCGAGCGAAACTCTTCGCAAAGCTACGTAATTTCTCTTCGCTAATAATTTCCCGAAACGTGAGAATTGAAGTACAGCCTCCACCCATCTCTACATGTAACATCACCGGAATGACAATGGATGCCGAGTCTCGCGCGTTCATCATTAGCATAGAATGTAAAGCGGGCGTGGCAGAGTGAGAACCCACGACGCTTCCTCAACTCTGACAATGCACCCCATCGCGTATCGAGGGCTACTGGTAATCGTGTTGACTTTGAAAACTTACGGTTGTAACATCTCCGTCTAAAAATTAGTTGACGCGCCCACGGGAAACCTTGGCTTTGCGGACTCAACACCCGCAGCGTGTAAAATTTTCAGCCAGTAGCGAAGACTCGCGCCAGATGTCCAACAATTAGCTCATTCAAACGGCTCAGGTGCACCCACAGCCCAGGGGCGTGTATAATAAATGGAGGTGCAGCTACATGCGCGTGGTCATGGGGCTGCAATAATTCATACGGCTGCAGCACGCGGTGCGTATATATACTTACACCAACTGGGTAAGTTCTCAGTCGCCGCACCTCTTGCGTATACGCGTATCTTCTTGGAGATTCGGGTAAATCAAGCCCCTCCCTGTTTCTTTCGCTCGCGCACCCGGCGCCTGGGACTCTTAATTTTGTCGGCATATACACATATCGGCCGAGTAGCCTCGCTCTTTCTGTGCAAACTTACGATTTACCCTCACCCAATCACGCTCTCCGGGTGCATTTTCACTCGTAAGCTTTTGAAAAATATACCACCAACAACCTCGAATGTGTAAAACATATGGGATACGTGTTTGGTCCTTCTTTGCGAGAACAATAATATGCCAAGGTAGAACTGTGGAAACAGTTAAAATACACAATTTACCTGACGCGTCGAAAGTACATAATAAACCCGAGACCCTTTGCCGTAGAAATCTGATTCCAAGCCATGCCGTAGGGAATCTACATTTATTTTTAACAATTGCTGACGAAGGAAATTAGCGAGTCCGTGGTCTTTCTCCCCCTTTAAGCTTGCGTGCCGAAGCACCGGGTAGCAGACAGCCATTCATCGTGCAACAAGAGCGCAGTGGGGCGTACAATTATTTTCAAAATCCCGGTTTAATTATCATCCTGTCGTGTAACGGCGAGTTTACATCCTGTTGCAGCGATGCTCCGGTTAAATGCGAACAATTTCGAGTAGCTGCACCCGCGCGCATATACACGAGTGCTAGAGGGGGGGAAAAAAAAAAATCGGTAACAAGCTGAGCTTCGTCGCTTTTCGATATTTCCACGTTCTATTTGATACAACCATGAAGCGAATACAGGGCGACGCACCACCATTATAACGAGCGTCTCGCGCAACTAAAGCGCCTTTTCCCCTCGGCTGCATCATGCCGCAGCTTAATTTACTTACGCGTGACAAGTTCCCGCTGCCTTTTCTTTTCGGGATCCTTATTGTTCGTCCCCCCCTTCCACCGTCGCGTTAATTCCATTTCCGCCGGAACGATTCAGCCTCGAGCTCGAGCGCTCAAAGTTTCCCGGCAGTAGGAGTATATAGCTCCCTGCCAGCTTGTATACTTAAAATCGAATATTATCGAGAGCCTCTCGCACCCTCCCGCCCTTATCTTATCGCGCGGCGCTCGATCCCCCTCTAAATTGGCAATCCTCGGAGCAAGCCTTGAGGGAGACGGCTTTCTGCGAGCTGTGTAACTGAGCAGCGACGAGCTTACCCTCCCGCATCACCACTCGCTCCAACGGCAGAGCTGACGATCGCGGGGAAGACAAAAAAAAAAAACAAAGATTTCGCAACCAATAATATATCGGGAGTTTACAGTGCTTGGGTTTGTTGGACTAGCTTTCCCGTTCGTTAAACTCGAAACAAGGGGCAAAACGTGTCAACAAGAGACGCGCGACCGTTGTATGGTATTATCCTCCTTCTTTATTTCCCCGTCTTCCCCCGGCAGCTAAATTAATTTAGAGGTTTACGTGCAGTGGCACGCGCTCGTGGAGAAAGCGATACGCACAATGTACGGGAGCTTACCGGGGTATACGAGTGGAGCTTTCATTCATCGTCCGCGTGCCTTCCGTTTGACTCGGGGCAAGAGGAGCTTTCGATGGCAAATCCCCCCCCCCCACCTCCCACCACCCTTTCTACGCGACAGTGGGGGGTTCCGGTGTACGGCCAGTGGGGCACGTTCTCGACTTTTGTGCGAATCTATGCGCGTCCGATCTTTTGGTCCCATACACCATCTCTTTTGCCTTACTTTACTGCCGTGGCTTCCTCTCCCTTTGCATTATGCGCGCGCGTACATGCCCCGTTTATGAAAAGAGCGGGCATGTGCTTTTTTTTATTATTATTATCATCGCCGTAGTTTTTTTTTTTTTTTTTTTTTATTTCCCTACGGGGAAACAGTGGAATTCCTTTGGAATGGCCATTATGAAACGAGTCCTTTTTTCCCTCCGGCCCCCGCTGCAACACCGGGGACAAAGAAAGAGCGGACGCGGAGGGGGAAAAAACACGGTGCTACTAAATCTCCCGTGAAACCAACGGCGGGCCTCCGAGCATACGTTAATGCGCGTACGCCACGCCCTGCCACGCGTCTGTTAATTTGAAAACAAAGAGGTCGATGAGCTGGGTGCTGCTGCTTTCTTCTCTTTTATTTTATGGGGGGGGGGGGGAAATGCGTTGTTTGCCGTGTTTACGAGGATCTTTGCTCGTGAAAACGATACCCTGGCCGTTGTTCATTTCGCGTTGGTTTTAACTAATTTTTAGGGTTTTCCTTTTGGAAATAATATACGGAAAAAGGGCATGTGTCGCGCTTCTTTTTTCTTTTTTCCACAGGGCGCCCGAGGATTTATCATTTGCGTAAAATATGCGACTTTCGAATTTTCGAAATCGTAACTCACGCTTTTAGGTATCACCGTACATCACCGCCACCCTCCGTGGCGCGGTAAGTAAATTGAAAAATAAAATGTTACCCCCGCGGTGGCTTTTTTTTTTTTTTTTCTTTCTTCGTGATACCCAAACACCCTCTCTAATATGCTAGAACCTGTTTGGTACAGTTGAAGGAAAAAAAAAAAAAAAGNCAAAGAAATTTATTAGTAACGCATCAAGCTAGAATTAAAAACAATTTTCTATCCTTGCGGAAAATTAATTTTCATTAATCTTTAACCTGCTCATTCGTTCATTTAGTCATTCATTGATTTATACGTATTATTTGAATCTTCGTGATACCCAAACACCCTCTCTAATATGCTAGAACCTGTTTGGTACAGTTGAAGGAAAAAAAAAAAAAAAGTTGGGTTATTCTTTGGTGTCGTGAGTACGGTACCTACACGTCACTGCCGGTAATTGGAGTCCACTGGTACATACTTTTACGAGTACACCGTAAAGTTGCGTGGCTGCACCAATACACGAGCACGCAGAAATGGAGCGAGGCGCGTACAAAAGTTACGGCCGGAGGGTTATTTTCAAACGAGCGTGTGTGCTCCTCTCACTCACCGAAATTACATCGCGCAAGACAATGGAAAAAAAAAAACTTTGAGTCTCCCTTACAAAGAGTGTGCACCTGCGAGGCTGCCGGTCGAATCAGCACTTACGCCGTTGTAGGGATCGCTCCCGCATCTTTAGCCGATCTTTGCTGTAAGTGACTGCTGGGAACCTTCCCGGGGACGAGATTTTCCGAAGCACTGGGTTTTACGGGCGCTACGGCGTCCCGTGTCCGAGACGAGCTCTGCTTTACGTAAAAGCACCCATCCTCCCTGTCGTTGCCTAACGACAAGTTGAGAGCGAGTAGTATGTTTTTTTTTTTTCACTCGTATCGCAGGAGCCAGGGAGGGATGAAGCCCCTCGCAGCTTGTTCCGCCGAGTCGTCGTTTCACCTCGCGAGTGCTCCCATCAGCTCCTGTCGGGCGGAGATGGCGATAGGAGAAAATGGGAATCGAGCCCCCCCTCGAGCTACTTCATTGAAAAATTTATACGAGGAAAAATCAGGAAAAGCGGGGAACGTTGACAGCACTTTTTATCTCGCTACTTCGTTACAGCTGTACTCGTGATTTATCTATTGACGGCCGCTGCTCGCCCATCTTACCCCACCTACCTCCTATGCCCTTGTTTTACCTCTTTTCAGTTGCCCCCCTCCGACGTCAAACTCTTTTTTCTCCTAATTTATTCCATGAATAAACAAACAAACACCGACATCGATATCCATCATTCGTAGGTATAGGTGGAACCTCTGGGTGGGAAAAAAAAAACTGCAAAAAAAGTACAAACAACGCCATATAGCCATCGACCGTGTTTCAAAAGGGGGGAGGGATATTGTGCCTATGATACAGCTATAGGCGTGCATAGCCAAAGAGCTGCTTTTACCGGCTAAGCGCTTTTAACGCGACCTTCTCCATTTCCCTCGCAGCGTTATGGGCCACGCCGTATACGTGGCATTAGGACGGAAGCAAAAGAAACGCTATGGAAGCGATAAATCATAGATTTTCCCAGCCGAGAGT